AAACAAAATAAACCAAACCAATCTAAACCAAAGAATACATATTCTATTTTCATACGAATCTATCCTAAAAATGTTGTCGGCATTAAATAACCCATTGAGGTTGATATGTCGTAAAACAAAATAAACCAAACCAATCTAAACCAAAGAATACATATTCTATTTTTCATACTCTATCCTAAAAATGTTGTCGGCATTAAATAACCCATTGAGGTTGATATGTCGTAAAAACAAAATAAACCAAACCAATCTAAACCAAAGAATACATATTCTATTTTCATCTATCCTAAAAATGTTGTCGGCATTAAATAACCCATTGAGGTTGATATGTCGTAAAACAAAATAAACCAAACCAATCTAAACCAAAGAATACATATTCTATTCATACGAATCAATCCTAAAAATGTTGCAGCAATAAAAACCTTGTCGGCATTAAATAATCCACTGAGGTTGATATGCTGTAAAACAAACCAAACCAAACAGGAACCCTCAGATTACGGTAGGCGTTCATTATTTAGTAATGTTTGTTTAATTTTATATTCGTAATTTTACTATACAAATATGACATATTGTTTGAAAATTCCTCGGTTATTATAATAGAAGCCTTCAAATTTAAAAATTTAGTAACCATAGCGACGGCTATATGGCGTCACCTTGAAGCTACTTTCATTGGCAAGTGTACAATACCCGCTTTTCTCAAGCGGTATTCCCCGGAACCCTACGGTTCCGTAAGAGTTAGCAGAGAGTCCTGTAAGAGGTAGCTTTCCTCGAGAAACAGTGATAAACAGTCTAATGTATTTTTGAGTAGTTTCTGTTTAATTTCTTATTCGTAAATTTCCTGTACACGTTCTGTATGTCAAATGGGGTGTTTTGATAACCCCTATTTTTTGTCAGTACTCGTAATTCTTATTTCTACTCCTTCCATCTACTCCCGCTACTCAGTGAATGTATGTAGAACTCGGGTGGCGCATTTGTAGGCCAGATGTCGTGGGGGTATCCTGTCAACACACCTGACTAATTATTACGTCATTATCAATGCACCTAATCCAGTTTTTCTCTTCCACTGTTCCCCGGAACTCTAGGATTCCGCGAGAAATAGTATTAAATAGGCTAATGCATTTTTAAAGTAATTTTTGTTATAATTTTATATTCGTCATTTTACTATACACGTACGCCATATTGCTGGAAAATCCTTGGTTATTATAATAAAGTCTTCAACCTCTTATATTATTTAAAATTATATTAATCATAGGGAATGTATTCCATGCATTAGAGCAGTGGTTTGAGAATTTTCTGATATAGTCAGTATGTGTTCAATCTCTGATGTGGGTAGTACAGGCATTGACTCAATAGAAAACAGGACGAGCAATAGCTAAACGCTGCTGGTGGCGCCAGGGGTGGCGGTCCCGCCATAGCCACCGAAACCGTGATATCACCCCTGGTCGGCGGCTGATGAAGACAGGGTATCGCACGCGCTAACACACGTTGTATGTTAAAAATTGATATAATTGTCAATACATCTAAAGCTATAAAAATGTATTTTACAATAAATAAAAAAGACTGTATTTTCAGAGTGCATATGTGAAGATGAGAATGCATGAAGAAGTATCTATCTCGGTTCATAGCTCAATATTTCTCTATGCATGGGTTTCTCAACCCTAGGGTTCCACAAGAGGTTGTTAGGGGTTCCATGAGAAATAGGGATAAATAGGCTAACGCATTTTTTAAGTAATTTTTGTTATAATTTTATATTAGTCATTTTACTATACATGCCTACAATATTGTTGGAAAATTCTTGGTTATTATAATAAAGGCTTCATTTTCTTATATTATTTAAAATTATAATAATCATCGGTAATGTTTTCAGCAATATCTAAATGGTATCAATGTGAAACTGCCATCATTGGTTAGTAGACAGGACCTGTATCTCTCAACGGGTGTTCCTCAGAACCATAGGGTTCTGCGAAAGGTTGCTGGGAGTCCTACAAGAAGCAGTGATAAATAACTTAACGCATTTTTAATTTGTTTTTTTTTCGATTTCATATTAGTAATCTTACTATACATGTAGGGCTTATTGTTGGTAAATCCTTGGTTATTATAATAAAGGCTTCAACCCCTTATATTATTTAAAATTATAATAATCATAGGGAATGTATTCAACGATGTCTACATGGCGTCAACGTGTAACCGCCTTCATTGGTTACTGGTCAGGACCTGTGTCCCTCAACCGGTGTTCCGCAGAACCCCAGGGCTCTGCAAGAGATCACTGGGGGTACTGTGAGAAATAGTGGCAAAAAGCCTAATGCATTTTTAATTTGTTTTTTCGATTTCAAATCAGTAATCTTACTATACATGTAAGGCTTATTGTAAGTAAATCCTCGGCCTTTATAATAAAGACTTCAAACCCTTATATTATTTAAAATAATAGTAATTATCAGCTGCGACTGTTTTTTTTTTTGTTTTTGTTTTTTCTGGCGGGGGTTTATTCTGGGTTCGAACTGAT